TCTTCCCTGTAACGGACGGACCCCTGAAGCACGTGCCGGGGGAAACCCTCCATTTGTGCCCCGGCTGTTTGTTGATTGCGGCAGCGACGGTCTGAGGAACACGGAAAGAATGAGGCCATTTATTTACCCAGATGGTTTACTGGTGGAGGTGTGAGGCCGGCCAGCTCGCTGTGGGAACGCAGCGCTTGCTTTTCTTGGTATCGCTGACCGTTTTTCAAGACTGCGGTGTGTGTGTGTGTGTGTGTGTGTGTGTGTGTGTGTCCTTCCCGGCTCTCCAGCTTTGTTTGTTCTGGATGGCATGTTTGATTATTTATCGCGAGGGAAAAGGGAGTAGCTGGAGCAATAAACATGTGATTGGACTGTATTTAGTTTTCCACGCAGAAGGCCGTGTCCTTTAACTGATGTTCCTTCGGGTAGTTTGAGCTGAAGCAGAAGACGCTCAGAGCGTCTCCCACCGCTTGTTTGCCGTAAGAACAACTTATCAACAGATGAATATTTCCTCTGGGCCGCTGCAGGTTCTTTTGTGTGCGTGAGTTTGTTTTGACGTCGATCATTGTTCCCGCCGTGTTTGCAGAGGGTTCGTTAGATTTATGACTGAATGGGAGAGTGAAAAGATGCTGTTTGTTATCAACGGGCCGGCGAGGGGAGATTAATGGAAGACACATCTGCTCTGACGATAAGCATCAGCGTCCTCAAGGGACTTTGAACGTATCTACTTGTAGCATTTCTATTGGACTGTTTAACAAGCACAATCTCTCTGTGCATTTCTCTTTATTAGGCTCTTCAAGTGGCCCGGCAGATACTCCTCCGGCAGCAACATCAACAACAACAACAACAACAGCAACAACAAAACACCGGCCGCAAGTCTCCCAAAGCCGTCGACAAGCAGCAGAGCCTCCAGGTACGTCTCGTTTATTCCCCCGTGACATCATCAGAAGAGAGAAGAAGAGAAGGAAGGAAAGTGGGGAACTTGTGCAACTCGCTGTAGAACACCGTGTGCGAGGAAAAGCACTGAGCAAAGCTCACAAACAGGAAATTAGAATCGGCATGTTTCCCCACGCACTGTGTGTGATTAAGCAACTCACACACACACACACACACACACACACATCAGCCACGTGTCATCTAAATGTCGACAGAGAACACTAGAAGCTGCGGTATGTAAGCATGAAATAAATAGGCCAGAATGTAAAAGAAGAACCTCTCTGTGGGCAGTTGAGCTCATCCAGTCATTCCAGTGCGGTGACACACATCAGCATGTTGTGTGGTCGATCCCCACTTCTGTTTGTGGAAAAACGCCTTTTTTTATCCCTGCTGACTGACTGGGTTTAGGAGGTAAAAGCAGGAGACGGGAAACGTGGAAGTGAGACGGAGCTTCACTCCTCTCACGGTCCAGCAGAGGAGCTTTCTGTTGACACACACACACACACACACACACACACACACACACACGGGTGGGTGTGGTTGGACATGCAGGTGGACGGCTTGTAGGTGACGTAGAGGTGGGGAATTGGGGGGCTGACGATTATTTAGAATGCATTTAGCAGGAAGAAACCTCTCTTGTGCTGTATGAACATGTGAAGCTGCTTCACGGATGAACGTCTTTGTGTTTGAACAGGCAGCAGTTGTTTGTGTCGGTGTGAAATCGCAAACGACTTCAGGGCATATTTGGTAATTAATACAGAGGCCCTGCTCCGTCTCTGTGTGTGTGTGGATAGATATAGATATATATATATGTATATGTAATATTTAATACCCTGACGATCCCATTGGGGGCCCTTTTTAATGAGCTATTGTAGCAGCTAGGTGCGCGAAAGCCTCTTTGTTGTGCAGATGTCTTGGGAACGAGCTCCAGAGGATGAAATGTGATGACCTTTCAGTTGTGTGCATATTTGTCAGGATTCAAGTAAGTTGAAAGGATGGAACTAAACTGTTTCCCGGCCTGCGGGGGGATTGTGCTGCGGAGGTAAGCGGAGGTCAGCGGAGGGGACCGCGGCGGCGGGTTCCCGCGC